TATATTGACTTTCTCATTTATTCCAAGAGCCTCAACACTGCTTAGCTGTACCTCCACAATCTTTCAATCAGCTGCTGCTTGCTTTCTTATTCTTCCGATGACTCATTACCCTTAAAACTCTATGAATGTTTTCTTGTAAAATCTTGATAACCAAGTCTTAGAAATCATGAATATTAATGTCTATCTCGAGTCTCTTTTCTCTCGGTCACAGCGTTGTGCCTTCTGTTGATTCATTACCCTTAAAAATGTATAAATCTTGTGCTATTTCCTCCTAAAATCTTGATAACCATGTCTTAGAAATCCTGAATATTATTGAGTCTCTTTTCTCTCGGTCACAGCCTTGTTTCTTTCTCATTTTCGCCTCAGTGCACCAAGCCATGATGCCAAACCCAGCGTCCAGCTACCAGACCATAATGGGCATGCAGCCAACCTCCAGCCTCGCGCTCACTGGCAACCAGCAAAGCAATATGGGCAACCAGATGCAAGGCATGATGGTCCAGTACCCTCCAATGCAGTCTTATCAGGTATTTGGATGATCCGTGTCAGATTAATATTACTTGTGTGGAAATGAGAAAGAGATACGATTCTATATTCCTTGTTTTTCAGCTATTTATCCATTATTTGTGATGCTTTTTTGCAGATTATCTTATAGTTTTATGGTTTTATTTGCTGGTTAACCTGCTGATTTTGTCCCTGCAGCAGGTTTCCATGCCGCAGCAGTCGTACCAGCAGCCGGTTTTTGTTTCCTGTCAGCCGGGGCAGGGGGGGGTGGCGGTCGCCGGCATGCAGCCCTGCTACAGCCTGCTGCCCCCCAACCAGCACACCACCATGAGGTACCAGAGGCACCAGCATGTTGCAAAAGTCATGATAAACAATGCATTATTTCTCAAATGTCAATAGAAATGTATGCATTTTACCAGCATCTCATGAAACAGTGATGGAAAAATGACTGCTAATAAGCTCAGATTTATGTTCACCCTTTTATAACGACAGGTTGTAATAGCTGAAGAGCCTTTAATCGGTTTCAGATGGAGTTATTATCTCGCCTGTGGATTTGCTCTGTCCCAGAAAGCCATTTGCAGGTGCTCAATGCCGTTTCTCACTCCTGATAGGAGCCTCTTATTTATAGACATGACAGGCCTGACGAGCCAAGGTCATCTTTGTTCACTGTGGGCGAAAAATTGTAGTTATTACCACGATGCATTCAGTGTTTCCTGTCTGCGTGAAGCCCCTTTTTAAAAAAGCTTTTTTCCCAGTGTGTGAGCTCCGTGCTTTGGTTCTCATTATAAGCTGATTGATAGAACTAGTTCACAGAAAGCAAAAACATGTAATTAGTTCCTACCTCCATGGACCCAATCAATCTGGATAGTGGTGAGCAGAGCACTACTGGGACCGCCGTGTGCTCGTAACAAACACCAGACATGAGGCAGACATGTTCGTAGTCATCACCTGCAGAGGAACCACACACACACACACACACACACACACACACACACACACACACACACACACACACACACACACACACACACACACACACTTGAGAGGAGAGGTCAGTCTCTCATTGTCCCAGCTGTGAAATGAGGCTGCTTTAGTAGGGCAGTCGGAGGAAGTGATTTATGCTGCTGGCTCAGTGTTTTCCCACGAGGCCCGACTGTCCACCTGCAGCCTGTTTCTCCAGCAGCTGCAGAAAAAACCCTGCAGGCGAGATGCTTACCGAGCAACACGCCTGCTTTGCACATGGACTTAAAGTTACATTTCAATTTTAATACCCCCCAGCTGCAGCGCTAAGATCTCCGAGCTCCCGCAGATTTACGTCTGTGCAGGTTTAGAAGGGATTTACTAATCACTTAGGTGTGAGCGTTCACTCCTTTTTCCTCAATCTGGAGCGCCAGAAGCACTTCTGCTGACAAATGTGTCAACATTTAAACTTCAAACAGCTTATCGACTTATTTTAATGGAAAAGGTTCATCCATCTATCCATTTAGGCTTTTTTTCCTGCTCGTGTTTTAAGGTAAATAATGTATGATAGTGTTCAGAATTATGCAAGTCACAATTCATTTCATGGTCGATTAATCTTTCCATTATGGTTTTAATTAACAAAGTTGTTGTTTGCGCTATAAAATGTCAGAATGTAGTAACATAAATATGGCGCTCCAAGCCGAACAGGATGTTCTCAAATATCTTTACAACATCGGAAAACAATTACTAAATCGTTGCACCAGATGTGTTGATTTTAACCAAGTCCCTAATCCAAGTGTATTCAATTAAATTAACTGTTCAACAATGACAAGATATTATTTTCACATTTCAGAAGCTAAAAGGACTTATAAGCGTTGTCAAATAGTTAAAAAAAATGATGTAAATGTCAATAAATTCATGCTGGGCTAGGCATTAACGCACCATCATCTTACACACCTTGCCAGTTATAAGCTTAAAACATATTAAAATGTGTTTTATGTGCTGTTGTAAAAGGTCTTAGTGTACCTTGTGGCCTGTTGTAAAACCCTTGGTGTCCCGTGTGTTTCTCAGCTCCACAGTGAGTTTCCTGCCTTGCCAGTTAGAAGCTTAAAACATATTAAAATGTATTCTTTGTACTATTAAAATAAGTCTTAATTGACTTTGTTTCCTGTTGTAAAACCCTTGGTGTCCCGTGTGTTTCTCAGCTCCACAGTGAGCTTCCTGCCGGCACAGATGATGGAGCAGCTTCAGTTTCCTCAGACCTCGTCGCCCTGCGTTTCCCAGCAGCACCCGGGCCAACAGTACGCAGGTAAGCTCCGAAAAATATCCAAAACACCTGGTTCTGCTCACCAGGATCACACGGAGAATATTCCCTCCCTGACATTAGCCACTCTGGAGATTCCCCATCACTTCCAGCTTTTATTCCTCCCCATCTCTCAGTGTCAATAACGCTACGACCCGCGCCTCCTAATGAAATAATCTTCCCAGGGTTCACGTGTGTGCTTCAGAAGCGTGATTCGATTTACACTCTGGATTTTTAAAATGAGAAAAGAGTGAGGCGTGGTGCCGACGGCCCCCCGGGGGGGTTTGGATAAGTGAAAGTGATTTGCACGTCCACCTTTTTTTTTTCCCCGTCTTTCCCGGAGATTAAACAGCCGGTTGGTCTACCTCTGCAAATACATCGACAACAACTCAGTCTGAATGTCGTTTGGTGTGGGGGGAAACGATTAAAGTGAGAAATCACTGATGAAGCTTTTGGCAGGGACAAATTATCACATGGTTAAATCTAATATAGGTAAAAAATAGTCTTATTTCCTAACTGCCCTACTTCCCAACTGCTTCACTACAGGTTCATCATAAACTATCCACAACAGATTCATGCTTTAATGCAATAAAGAAATTGTTAATATATGACTGCTTCTGGCGATATATTGGGCTAGGTTTAATGGAGACAGATAAAACTACCACTAAGTGAATTAACATAAAAAAATTAACAAAAAATGTAAGCAATGAATCCCTCCATAATAACTCATCTTTTCATGTATTGGCCTTTTCGAAGGGCTCTTGCTGTCCAGAGGCCCAGGTGGGGCAGTCTCCTTACTAATGACCTTTATTATTCATGCCTGATTATTATGTGCGAGCGTCGGAGGGAGCCATCGTTTCCCGCCCGTCAGTAATGAGGTCGGATAAAGGTCTCACCTACAGCGTCACCAGTAAACATTTTTAATTGGCTCGGTCCAGAAATAATCTGTAGACTAAGTCCAAAAAGCCGTTGTCCTTGATACTGTTGTTGGGTGATAATTCATAAATCAACACGGGTGTCGGCCGTGCCAGGTTTACAATACGGTTTCCACCTAATGTGAGCTTTATGTAAACGGAAATTAATTACACGAGGGTGTGGGATTTATGGAGCTTCTGAAACCTCTTGATTGCTGAGTTGTTTGTTTTTTTAAGTCAAGCGTCATAAGATAGTGTGATCATTGCAGAGGGAATGGGATGTTATTGCCACCACGGATATGCCCTTAAAATCCAGGCACTTAGAACCTAATTGCTTAGCTGCCTTTTCACTGATGAGGTGTGCAGCTGAACTAAAGTGCTGTTTGGTGAATAAATGATGATATTTTTTTCATATATTTATTGAGTTTTCACAGGGTAACACAATCAAGATGGAGCATGATACCAATATCTACCCCCTTTTTTTCCACTTATCCCAAACCACAGAACGCATTCTCCACACAATGCAATAAAATAATAAATGTATTATTATAAATAAATACATTAGTTCCAAGAAATCCAAATAAATCCAAAAAATAAATAGATTATACCAAGACAACACAACAGTAAATGAATATAAAGATGTGTAAACCGAAGGTGTATATATAATAATAAATACATAAAAATATGTCCTTTCCATGCATGACCTTATTAATAAATAAATAATAATAATTAATAATGATTCATTCTATTAAGAGGCGCCTTTCAAAGCACCCAAAGGACACCAGACAATTCATAAAATATTCGAAGGAAAGGTTTAAGACGGTACAAAAAGACCGTAACATGTAGCACGACAGTGAGTAGGCTGATCTGAACAGGTTTTGAGGAGGGACTTGAATGTGGTGATTGTGTCAGACTGTCGGATATTTGATACACTGCATTTTTAGCTCACAGCTTGTGTTTTTCCGTTTTCTTTGTGCAGGGTTGTTACCCGCGGCCCCCGGTGGTGGCATGGTGATGCTGCAGATGACGGCGCCCTCCTGCCAGCAGCAAAGAGCCCCCTCCCCCTGTCAGAGGAAACCAACCAGCCACAAACACCCGGAGCACCAGCGCAGCCGCAGACCTGCAGAACTCCTGCCGCCTCTAGAAAACACCCAGGTACAAACGCTGCCCGTGTGCAAAGATAAGATAAGAAAAGATGGGATAAGAAGTCCTTTATTGATCCCAAGTTGGGACATAAAAATATATGGAATTGTACAAAGATAATCAAACCCCACTCTTTCTGCAATAAACCGTGTCTTAATGTACATTATTTAATTTCTTATTCGGTTCTTGTACATATCATATTCTATTTACTTTCTTGCACTATTTTTATTTTTGTATTTTATTATATATGTTGCATTGTTGGAGGAGCTCAGGTCAGAAGAATGTCATTGCCATTTCTACACTGTGCATATGACAATAAAACCTTTGAATTTTAAATTGAAAAACGGTTGAGTATTTCTAATCTCCTTATAACCTTATCTAGCTTTTTTAATTTAATCACCTCAGTGGTCCAGAGCTTTTGACTTTTTCCCAAACAATGTTAAATTAAATTCTACATTTGCTCGAGCGATGTTTGCCACACAGAGCAATACAGTACGTGTCAGAAAGTTACAGACGGTTACAAGAAAGCAATTTGAAAGCCAATTTAGTTTTGTTGTCTGAGTTTGACAGTGACGCCAGGCTCGCCTCCTGCGCTCCAGGCGGGTTAAATGTCGCCGTAAATAGGCTCAGCAAATGAAGTCGGCGCTGGCGTAACCTGAAAACGAGGAGGGAATAGTCCTCAGCATCAGGGCGTAATGGTACATTAAGGGGACTAATGTGGATGGGACGGTACATTAAAGCAATGACTCGCAGTGGTTGCTTTTTTTGAATGAAAGTGTTTTTTCTTCTTCCCTCTTCTTCCTCTTTCCGGTGTGTTGTGTGTAGAGCAGCCGGCCCTTATCGCGGGCCCTCACGCCCTTGCCAGGCCGCCCGCCCAGCGTCAAGGGCCTCCCATCAGGCATTTCCTCCATCCCTGTCATGGCCCACCACCCGCACCACCCCCCGCCGCTCCCTACAGCCTTCTGCCACAGTGGACAAGGTCAGTAGTAACGCAGAAGTAAAGACATTACAGGATCATCTAAACCTATTCCTGCCTCAAGCCTGAGTGTGCAGAGATGTTTTGCAAACAGTTTGATTGTGTAGAGAAACTGTCATGCAAAAAATACTTTACTTGAGCAAACAGAAATGTATTTTATGCTAAGTCAATTAACCTTTGCTCACGTATTCTCAACACCCTTAGATTGATTTGCACTTTCACTTATTTAGCATTGTGATGCATTTATAGTGGAGTATTAGGTCATTTCTGATTGGCTGTTATATCTTTATCTCATTTGCTTCTATTGTCTGTTAGTTAGTAGGTTATTTGAGATTTGTATAATTAATAATAAATGTCCTCTAGTACGCTCAGGATCTCCAATCCAAATCAATTTAAAGTTTCTTGTTTCTACGGATCTGAAAATCCACTTTTGATTAATACCTTGTTGTGTTTTGTCTGTGAAGGTGAAGCACACTACTCTCTACTGGGCCAACCTCTACAGTACAAACCCTCCATCAGACCTCCGCTGATCCACACCGCCCACATGGTGGCCAAACACCAGGTCAGACACACACACACACACACACACACACACTCCTGCAATAACGTTATTACCATTTTCTGGAGTCAATCCTCTGTATTAAATGATAAAAAGTTGCATCTCAGATGAGCTGATGGCCTTCTTTCTCCTCAGGGTCCACTGGGGGTTTGGCGAAGCGCTCATGGGAGGAAGGCCAGCAGAAAACCTCTGTCTTCAGATCTCAGTGTAGGTGAAGCAGGTAATAGGAAGTCCAGAGGGAGGCATTAGTTTAGTGAACCTCCATTTAACGGCAGTCATTTTAAGTTTACTCGACGTTCTGACCTAGATGTAACCTTCCCTGTACAGAAAGTATTTTTCAATACTTAAGTTCATGCAATCCTGACTCAAACATCGTATTTTAAAGAGAAAAAGGAAAGTAAGTAATAAACTCAGCTTCTGTGCAGATTACCTGAAATAACATCAGGTTTTTGTAGTGTCAAAATGTGCTTTCTGCACTCCGCAGCTGAGGAGGAGAAGTGTGTGTTAGTGTGTGTGTAAGCAGAATAAATCACAGACGGGGCAGATCTCACACCTGGCAGTGCAACCTGCAGCCCCGGCGGTATTGTGCCGACAGAAATGTGCTGATTATTTCAAATACAGCGTCAAATTTGTGCACACACCGGGGTATTATTTTTGCATTATTCAGGTGCTTTAGTCAATCATATCACAAGTGCAATCAACAAGGAGTTTTTGTTTTGTGCGTTAAATGTAGAACTGCAACAAACAAAAATGTAAATTTTCGCTTAATATGCAGGTTTTCTTTTCTAGATTTAACATCAGAAAATAATGATTAATGTCCCTCGCATTTGATTAGATTGTCCAGGGGGAGGTCTTGTTTTATCGGTCCACAATCCAAAGATATTCAGTGTAATAACAGAGAGGAAATATCTATATTTCACAGCATTTTTCTGCCATTTTGCATGAAAAAATACTTCATAGATTATCGGAATAGTTTGTGATAATTAATAATCTTTATTTGTATAGCACCTTTCATACAACAAGTGCAGTCCAAATTGCTTCACAAAGACATTTCACAGACAATTGATCTCACACAGAATACAGATACCGTTAAAAGACATGAAAATTGACAATAATGTGGAAAGTTCTAGCAACAAAACAGCATTATTTTTAAGACCGAGTAAAAACATTTGAGTGACATTGTGACTTGTTCGACCGACCTTCAGCCCACAGCTTTTCCCTGACAGCCGCATTTTATCGAAGCCTCCCGATGGTATAGTTGTGATTCCTCTGGCAGTTGTTGTTATTTCCCGCCTGCTCACAGTGCTGTCTGTGTTTGTCTGTAGTGAGCAGTCAGATCCTGGAAGTGACGGATCCTCCGGAGGGGATCAGCTGTACAGAATCACACCACCTCCTGGCAAACTTCTGCAAAGGGGGCCAATTGATCCAGCGAAACACCACCAGGGACACTCACCTGGCCTCATCATACTCCATCTTTGCCATGCTACCCTCCAGATACTCCGCCCCGAGCAGCACGCTCCACCACAGGACTAGCACCGGACACAAAGTGGAGCGCTGTGACTCTTAACTCGGCGAACTCATAGCTGCTAAAACTCCCGGTGCGTCGAAGGAGCGTGAAACGAACGCACATCGAAAACCACCTGCCTCTGCTGCCTCAGTCTGGAGTTCACAGACTCTGTCCAAATCAAAAGCTAATGTTTTGAAGAATGAATGTTCACTTTTTTTATTTTGTTTTACTTCATTTTATCTGGCCAAAAGGTCTGAGGTTTGTTTTTTCGAAATGCGTCCGATGACCATCTCTACTTAAAAAAAATTCTAGTTTGCTGTTCGAAAGTGTTTGGAGAGCTTTGGGATTTTCTTTTAAAAAAAAAAAACAGGTGTATGCATCATATCGAGCTCATGGTGATCATAATCCAACTGTTTTCTGGTTCAATAATGTTTTTGTGCACACTTGACACGTGAAATTGGGGTTCCCCTACCATGTAATTGAATTCAAACTGAGCATTCATATCAAAGCAAGTGTCATATTTTATTTAACATTCATCAATAATTCCTTCATCTGTTTTCTAGCCACTGAAACTGAGAAGCGTTTATCCGCAGTGAGGTACACAGGAATGAGTTCTTGTTCAACATGCTCCCAACGATAACACACAGCAGCCCATACAATAATAAACACTGAATAATAGATATACTACCTGAATTATTTGCAGTCACTTTTATACACAGTGAATGTTGGATTTGCACTGAAGTGATGAACGAGATGGAGATTTAATTGCTATCGGACTGGGCCTGGATTTCTTTCTTTTATCGACCCCATCGTTCCTGTTTGTTGCACTCGACCAGGCCACTTTCTTTTATATTTAATTAAAATGTTTATATGCACAAGAAAAATGCAAACGAGTGTGTCGTTCTACTTGGCTTCTTCTTTTTTGTTTTGGATTTTGTTTGTGTGAATCATGAGGTCGCTGTGTCTGGTGTGGCTTTTTTCCTTTTCTTTTGGTTTGACTCTAATAAATGTTTGCACCACACGTGTTTACATAACTTTTTCCTATGTTTAAAGGTGAGCAATAAACTGACAGTATGTTAGGAATCAGAAGGGCTCCCCACAGAGGAGAAATGTACATAGTTACAGCATTATATAGATAGCAGCATATATAAGGACAAATAACACACTAGTAGATAAAAAGGCATGCACATAGTGTTTGAAATAATAAAATACAAATTGCACACATTCAGGGAATATAAATAAGCAGTATTTATAAAATAAGTGACATTGTAGTACACTATTTGGTACACTTGATTGATTGATTGAAAAGTTTATTAACAGCTTGTATATTGGGTACAGTACAGTACAGCTCAAAACATACAATTGTTAAGGGGATGCAGACCAGAGAAAGACTTTCATCTTGTTTACATCAGGGTCCCCCATTTCCAATTCATCATATCATTTAAGACATATAAGACATATTTGACATACAGATGGCTTATTTACAATTTACATACAGTTGGTTTTTTACATACAGATGGCTTATTTACAATTTTCATTTTAGATTTCGTTCTAATACATCCTAACCGGACATTTAAGACATACCAAGTCTACAGATATACAGTTAAGAGTGTATTTAACAGTTTCCTTGATGCAAGATGTTCCTATAGTGTACGGGGAAGAATAATAGCAACATGATGAGGCAACTGTTGGGAAAATGTTGCTCTTGGCTTTGCAGAGATGCAGAAATTAGCCATTTTGACATGTAAGTTAACGTAGAGCAACAGTGAGCCCTAGTGGACAGCTGTAGATACTAACGCATGCACAGCAGAGTGAAAGTGAAAGCAAACTCTCCCGGTAGCTGTGTGTGTGTTTATAGCAACAGCTCGGGGTTTACAGTGGAGGGAAAAGGCGCCTTAGCAGTTAGCTGAGATGCTCGCTGGGCTTCATGTCTGTAGCCGAAATGGAGACAGATTCCCGGGAGGAAAAGAGGACCGTAGTGGTGTCCGGTGTGCCCGAAGTGCTGCCCGTCAGCAGGATGATAGACAAGCTAACAATTCACTTCCAGAGCTGCAGAAAGAGCCATGGAGGAGACGTGGAGGTCGTCAAGTTACCCACCAACATGCAGGGGGTCGCTTTGGTCACTTTTGACAAAGCTGAAGGTAAGTCAACCTCTTCTAAACACAAGCTACAAGCTACTTTCATTTAATTTCAAACCTTTATTTATCCAGGTGTATCCCATTGAGATCATTGATCTCTTTTTCAAGGGAGACCTAACTGTGTGTGTGTGTGTGTGTGTGTGTGTGTGTTGTGATTTAAGTTTCAAGTCTCACTTTTAGGAAGCACCAGTTCGAGTTAAAGCCGAATAAATTCATTTTTTTTAGAAAGCAGCCCCAGTGTGAGCATCTTGTGTATTCACGTTATCATAATACTTCAGTAATAACTATTCGGCTGTACTGAAGGTATACAAACATCAGCATCTGAATCATAATAAAGATCGTGTTTACTACTCAAAGATAGTGACAGGAAGTGACATATTTCCTCTAGATGTACAACGTAAACAAATCAAAACTATCACTAATAATGGTATTGGTGTTTTCTTCACTTCAATGCAGTAATGCAAACATATTTTAGGGTGTATAAACAGTATATCATAGTAAACTGTACCTGTATCGAGAGATACAGCTGCAAATTGACAAAGTGATTTTGAAAGGCGTGTTACAGATTGAATATTTTACCATACACGTGACAGTATTTCTGGACACGCCTGCAGGGATTTTCTAAGCTGCTAAATTCACATTTATTCAGTTATCATTAGTTATGACTGGCTGTAAGTCATAAGCAGTGACTAGATATTTAAATGCCTTAAGCCATGTGCAGTCATTTCTGAATGTATCTCCTATTTAATGCTTTAATTGGTTCCCATGGGACCCTCAATTAATTCCCCTGGGAACCACTTATAATACAATATGTAGAGAGGTGAGGTATATATCAATCATTTATCTACAGGAAGTGCTGCGTTGATGCATGCCAGTGGTTTGATTCACCAGATTACAGTATGGTGGCAGCATCAGAATGGGAGATAATGAGGTTTTGTGTCATTTTTGAATGGCTTTATGAACATTATAACATATCAGTGCACTTCTCTTGGCAGATGCAAACAGGGCGGTGGGAAAGGAGCAGCAGATCATGGCGGACGATGAGTTTCCAGAAGAATACCTGCTCACTGTGTTCCCCTTCTCTACAGATGTAAGCGTCACTTTATTCTTACATGCATAGTGGTTAGTTTTCTCATATGATATATAAGATATTAATGTGTTCTTGTGCTGCAGGTGTTTTTCTACGTCTCCAGCGCTACAGTTGATCTCTCCGTGTTCGGCAGAGATCAGTCGTCGCTGATTCAGAGTCTGCGGTCAGCTCACAGGTCGATACGTTTCCTACCTTCACCAAAGCGGAGAAAACCCACCATCGAAGGGCCTTTCACCGCCGTCCGAGCCCTGAGACAGGACCTCATCCTCAGGGCGGAAAGACTTAACTCCACAGCCCAAACATCTGCCGTCAAACTCAAAGAAACTGCTCCTAATCCCAGGGTCACATCTCCTCACAGCTCTGTAAGCCGCCACGGGGCTAAAGCTAAGCTGGGACCAGGAAGTGCTAACTGCTTATCACCTCCACTGCACACCACAGGTGAGGAAACACAACGCCTGCATTCTGAAACTCATTCCCCGAGGCGAAAAGCTTCTTGTGAGAGAGATCGGCTCGAATTGCCCACAGAAAATCGGACAGAGCAAGTAGAGACAAACCCCAGACCAGTGCACAATTCAAGGAATAGACCTTCCTTAATAGGCCTGGAGATGGAAATATCTCCAAAACAGTCAGGGGTAGACGATATGTCAGATAAACGCAGCAGACCAGACAGGGTTTCAGCCTCTACGATCAGAGGGGAGAGTCAGACAGGCAGCAGCAGCAGCGCTGACTATCTGCAGGAATCAGATCAGAAGAGCCCTGCCACCACGACTAAGATCCAAACCAGACACAAACATGTCTCAAAGTCCTCCAAGAGTAACACTGAGGAGACGGGGAAATGTGTCTGCAGTTGGTCTCGAGGATCAGGAGGATACGTGCATCTGGGTGGACTCCTACATATTCAATTACATCGAAAAATTTGACAAAGAGGAGTTCGACCAATGCTCCAGAGGCGTTGATGTGTCCGTTCAGAGCGAAGGCACCGACCTCGTAAGGTTAGTTTTAACCGAGAGGCCAACTTCCACGGTCTCACGGCTGCAGTATGCGTTAGGAAGCCTCAAAGGTCTAGTGGAGATTTGGAGGATAATGTTGAGGGTTCATCAGATCGACTACAACAAGAAGGATAAACAGAAACTGATACAAATCTGCAAAGATGTGGATGTCCTGTTCGTTAACGTTTTATACATGATAGAGGACTCTTGTGTTAAAGTCATTGGCTACTCATCTTCCAGTCACCTGTTCTGTCAAAAGGTGGAGGAAAGACTAAACCCAAAGACCCTCTAAGAAGATTTACATGGAGGAGAAATACATGACTGCAGTTCTATAAAATGACCACAGGGTGGCAGCATTGTGCATCCACAGAACCAGCTCCTGCACAGTGTGTCGGAAATCAACAAAGTTAGGCATTATCAGCACATTTTTGATTACTCTGTTCCACAACAACATGTTTTTGTATTACCCTGGCTAATAATCAGAGTTATATGAGTTAATAACACTGTATCTATGACATTCCTGCCTCTATAACCCAGTTTAATGTTCTTATTAAATGAAAGAATCTAATGATTTCCCTTTGTTTAGCGCGGGTTGATAATTAGGCCTTTTAAAATGAAATGTAATACACAGCAGTAGGGACACATCTTAATTAACCTCCTCACATCTCAATAACAATAGACAGGCTTCTTATTAACAATTAGAATTGACAACCCATACATATTTGAATCATTTTGAGGCATTAGTTATGTATTTAATGCAGAAATAAACGTGGAAAATACTCTTAATATAAAGTATATTTTATTAACTTGAATATTTGTCTAATTTTATATTGTTATGTGTATAGATTTCTCCTTAATTGACCAACATTTTTGTGATAATGGTACGTTTTGCATCTCTGTGATTATGTTTTGTAGTTGTATATATTTTTTAATTAAAACTTGTAATACAGAAATGATTTGCACTAATCTAATCAACTGGGGAGGTTTCATGGTGATATATAGGTATCCTATTCACCTGTAGTGTCTCCCTTTAACATATTGTATGACAGAATTGCATCTTAAGTCTTTATTGACGCTTTACGGCTTGAATATTTTACATTCTGTGCTTTGCCTTTGTTATACATTTTCCAATTTCTACAGTTTCTTTCGCTGTGATTCAAACCAGGGGCAGTAGGGGGCGCTATGACACTTTCTCCAATATGGTGAAATGAGAGAAAATAGAAAAACAGACAGAGAATAGAGTCCTGCTCAATGGAGGCTGGGTTTTGGCAAGCAGGGTGCAGATTGGCAGACAAATGATGTCAGTTGGACGTCCCATTATACACCCTCTCCCCCTCCACACACACACACACACACACACACACACACACACACACACACACACACACACACACACAGGGCCTCACCTTCTCCCAGGGAAACACTGATCCGAGCTTGTGATGTGTGGAGAAGATGTTCGGTAAAAATATCTTTTTTCTCTCTCCTGCGATTATGCAAATGAGCTCGCCCCACGGCCTCGGTAATTGATTCATTATGTAAAAATAAGCCACACAACCATAATGAACACACACACAAACACAGACAATCACTCATTTCCCAGACACACACACACACACACACACACTCTTGTTGTTACCATAGGAACATAGTGGAAGAGGTTGCCGAGCTGCAGCACTAGGCGTTGTTAGGGGAAGCTCTTGAGTACAATGCATGGAGGACGGAGGAATTACATTACAGCAGAAGAACCCTTAATACAGACTCTTAACACACACACACCTCCCTGTTGCCCCTTCCCCTTGAACAA